TGATTGGGTCGAGGAAGAAATCAAGAAGCGTAGAGCTGCTGAAGATTCCAAGGCTATGACAGAAAGATTTTTGGCAAGTTCTTTGGAAGAAGAAACTCGATTAAGACAAATTGTCGATGAGAAGATTTCAAAAGCCGAGATTGAATTTGTCAATCGACGAAAAGCTGAAGATCGTCTGGCTGAAGCTCAACGTCTCCTTCGCGTCTCATCCGAGGAGGAAGATCGACTTCGTGACGCTATGTTGGAAAAGGATGCGAAGATGCGACAGATTGCGGAAGATCGTGATCATAAGGTAAGAGGCATTGAAGAGTCAAGAAATAAGACAACCATGCGCATCGCCCTTCTAGAAGCTGCCCAGGAGAACTCGCGCAAGACGGAAGCAGATCTTACTGCCACGATCCACATGGCCGAGTCTGAATTACGAGAATCACGTTCGTTAGCACACCGATGGCAACTGGAAGCCGAAGGAGCCATGGAAGCCGCCAAGAGACACAGCGAGGATGCGGAACAAGCCAATGAAACCAATAGAGACCTCAGGAGGACCATCGAGACCTTGAAGAACCAGATGGAGGAAAGTATCCGAGTCCGCGAATCCATGAGATCGAAATTAATGGATTTGCAGGAGGATATGGCCACAGCCGCCCGAAATATTTCACAGGAAAATTCTCATCGTGCCAAGAAGGAACAGGAATTACTTGCCAGACAGGAAGTTCTTGACGCTAAACTTCATGCCGAAGCTAGGACAAGGGAACGACTCGAACTGGAAATTGAACGATTGGAAAGTGGCGAGAGACAAGGTATGAGAGCCGTTAATGAGTGTAAGAGGTTGGAAGCTCTCGTCATTGAACTCCGCAATGAAAACCATGCTGCTCATAAAGACGTCATGAGATATAAGAGAGAATTTGAGGAGGCTCGCGAATCTGGCTTGGGTGAAGTTGCACGTACGAGAAAATACATGCAGGTTGAGGTTGAGACTGCCAATAATGAGGTCAATGTTGTCAGAGAAGAACTTGAGAATCAAATCTCCAGACTTCAAGCTGAGATCGATCTTGTTAAATTGGATGCTGAGACTGCAAAGGAACAACACGATATGCTTCTAGAAGCTGCTCAAACTGCCAAGAAAGACATGTTTGATGACATCACAAGAAAGCATCAAGATCAACTTGAGGATTTACAAGATAAATTGAAGCGACAACTTGAGAATACCATTGTGGATGCTCAAAGATCAGAGCAACATCTTTTGGAGCGATTGAGTTTGAGCACGGCCAAGACGGAACATCTTCAAGATCGTGTTAGTCATTTGGAAGATAAATTGGAGGTTGCTAGGTCTGCTGCACAAGCCGCCGCTACTCATGCTAAAGCTGCAAGATCTGCAAGTGTAGCTGGGTCCTTGCCATCGCCATCACTGCAAAAAGTATCCACACGTGGATTGGATGTGCCAGAGAAGATTTCACCACAAGCACTCCGAGAATCTATCATGGTTCTACAAGATCAATTACAAGATCGTGAATTGAAGATTGAAGATCTTGAACAGAAATTGATGGATGTAGACCCTGAGGCCTCGACAAAGATTAGCAAACGTGATGATGAGATCAGCTGGCTACGAGAACTTCTATCCGTACGCAAGAGTGATCTTCAGGATATTGTGCAGGCCTTGTCTAAAGGAACATATAATCCAGATAACGTTCGCGACGCCGCTATTCGACTGAGTGCTAATCTTCAGATGGAGGAACAAGAGCGTGAAAGAGCTATGAATGGTGGCTCAGCTATCAATCTTCCTAATATCGCGGCTTCTATTGCCGCTAGTCCACGAGTTGCACAAGTTGCAAATGCCGTAGGACCACTTGCCGCAGCTTGGGGAAATTGGAGAAATAAGAATCAAGCAAAGGATTCAAGTGCTCTCATGAGTGGTGGTAATGGCAATGTGACCTCAAGCGGTAGCTCGACACCTTCTAAAGCTGGAGGCTCGTCTGGGTTTCTGAATGGGTTAATGACACCACCCGGTAGTAATGCCAGACAGTTTCCTAGTACTCCTGGGGCACCTCCACCAGTAATTATTAGTAGGGAACCAACTACTTTCGCGAGAGATAATGCACTAAGTGCTTTCAACGCCACAGGTCAACGATTCGCTGCTAGGCAAGGTGGACTTGGTTCGAGAACTGCGACACCCAGACGTGCAGATAAAGTACCAGTTAGAAGGGAAGCATCGGCAACTTCACCGATTATGTCGAGAAGTAGCTATGATACCGATGCTGTAGTGTCAAATCATGATGATTTGGTAAATGGAAGTAGACGTGGAAGTTCACTTGGGCAACCAAGTTTGGGAATGAGCTTAGGTGAAGAACTTGGGGATTTTGGAAGTGAGGAAGGTTTCTATGATGATGATGAAAGTACGGTGGATGAGATGGCTGGAATCTATAGTGGAGGATTCGGACGTTGATTAGATAATTTCCCTTTGTCATTTCTTTTTATTTACAATTTTATTGCAATTTGAGTTTTGAGCTTTGAGGTTTGAGAATTATTTACGGAGAGAGGAGGGAAGGGGAAGGGATGGGGCACAAAAACTTCTTATACCATTACCGCTGATATTTAGAGTGGTTCTTTTACATACATACATATTCTTTAATAGTTCTAGAATGATACCCGGAGCGCGAGTAGGGAGAGTGGGAGAGTGGGAGAGTGGGGGAGTGGTAGGAGGAAGGGGAAAGGGGGATATTGGATATTGGATATTTAGTTTCCTTTGTTAATGTGGATGAATACTTTGGTAGTAGAATGAACATATATCACGTGTAATTGTGTGTGTACTTGGTAGATGTTGAGAAGTGATTGATTGGTGTGTGTGTGTATGTTTTGTGTGTGTTTTGTTTGTATGTTGGGTGGATAGGTGGGTAGGTAGATGGGGGGTAAGTGGGTGGGTAGGTGGGTAGGTAGATGGGGGGTGGGTAGATAGGTGGGTGGGTAGATATGTATTGATTGGATTCTTCAAGTTTAGCTTGTAATAGAAGAGCTAAGGAGCTAAGGAGTCCAGGAGTCCAGGAGTCCAGGAGTTCAGGAGTTCAGAAACCAAAAGTTAGAGGAGTCGGGAAATGGAAGGATAGAAAGATGAAGGAAAGGAAAGGAATGGGGTATTGAGGAAGGGGAAGGGGAAGGGGAAGGGGAAGGGGAAGGGGAAGGGGAAGGGGAAGGGGAAGGGGAAGGGGAAGGGGAAGGGGAAGGGGAAGGGGAAGGGGAAGGGGAAGGGGAAGGGGAAGGGGAAGGGGAAGGGGAAGGGGAAGGGGAAGGGGAAGGGGAAGGGAAGGGGAAGGGAAGGGGAAGGGGAAGGGGAAGGGGAAGGGGAAGGGGAAGGGGAAGGGGAAGGGGAAGGGGAAGGGGAAGGGGAAGGGGAAGGGGAAGGGGAAGGGAAGGGGAAGGGGAAGGGGAAGGGGAAGGGGAAGGGGAAGGGGCAGGGGGAGGGAGAGAGAAGTGAGGAAAGCTGAGAGAGTGGATGGGTGATGAGATGAGGTTGAGAGAGTGAGATGGGGTTGGGGGATTGGATGGATGGAATTGGATGGGATGGGGGTGGGATGGGATGGATAGGATGGCTAGAATACATTAAAATAAAATACGACTAGGATGACATAATAGAATAGATGAAAAATGACTAGAATAGATGAAATTCAATAGGAATAGATGAAATGAAATTAGAATAGATGAAATGAAATAGAATAGATAAAATAAATGAATAGATAAAATCCATAGAATAGATGAAATCAATAGAAAAAATAATAAATAAGAATAGATAGAATAAAAGAATAGAGAAAAATAAATAAAATGATAGAAAAATAGAATAAATAAATAGATAAAATAAATAGGAATAGATTAGAATAATAGAATAGATAGAATAGATAGAATAGATAGGAATAGATAGAATAGATAGAATAGATAGAATAAATAAGATGGATGGAAGGATGGGATTGTATGGGATTGTATGGGATGAATGGATGGGATGGATGGATGGATGGATGGATGGATGGATGGATGGAATTCTGTAAGTGAATATCGCTTCGTAACCTGTGGTTTGTTTCTCATACTGGGTCTCTTGATCAATATTTGTAGTTTTTGATTTTTTTCGTGTGTCAGTATAAAGCTGTTTCTTAAGTGTACCCGACTTGGCTATTCAAGTATCAGGTCAAGAATAGCTTGTATATGAGGATTTTCCCCTTCGTTTTTGGGTGGAGAAATCGGCTATAACTCTCTGTCGTTTTACAGGTGATTTTGCAACTTTTCTCTGATTGTGTGGTCTCGTGTCGGCAGTAAGTTTCTCAGCAGATATTTTTGCGGGATTTTTTTTATTTTCGGATACAATCTTGGTGGGGCACAGTTGTGAAGTCAAATGAGCTAGTATATGGATCTTGATATTACAGTGCTTGCGCACTCAGCTGACTGGTAGTGAATGGCTCTTCAGGCTGTAAGCTCGAGGAGGATGGCTGGCGTTTGAATAAAAAAAGCATATCGTAATCTTTCTCTTTATATATAGGAAGAACTTGTAGTGGATGAGATGGTGCGAGGAGCTTTTGGTATGGATAAGACAGGTTTCGGCCTGTCTGAGGATACCTAAGTAAGATGGCCCTGAAAACACATATCAAAAAGCATTATTTAAAAGCAGTACAGTGGAGAAGTCCTGGTTGGATAAAAAATGATTTGAAAGGGTATTGGATTCGAACCAAATTCTTTATGCGGCACTCTTGCTGTAATGATATTATATTCACTGCATGAACTAGAATTGTTAAAGAATGATTAGAAACGACACTTTAGTTTATCCTCAGACTTTCAACATTCGCAGTACCCTGCACCCATAAATCATGTCTGCGAAGATATTCAAGACTACTTCTTTTTCTGAAAAACTCCTCTTTCCTTAATCATCACCTTTCATCGAGTCGAAAGTTCCACCGAGCTTTTCAAATTCTCAGCCATCAACAACTTTTCAACTTCTAGGCCATCAACATCACAAACCTCTCAAAATGTCACGACGCATAAGTCTTTCGTATCCCATGGGTGATCTGGGATGCAAAAATCAAATCAAAGTAGCACCTGACAACGACGAGGTGTGTGATAAGATCATGGAAGCTAGAGCCTTACTACTTCCTGATTTTTCTTCAGATGGTGAGCTGAGAAGAATCATAAAAATGTGTCCAGATCTGGACCCATGCACGGACATGAAGGAAGTTGTTCTTAATCAGTGGCAACCAAATAATAAGCCATGGAGAATCGGCATCACATGCTGCATCGAGCTTCAGCACCATCATGAGAGATGGCTATCAAAATTTCCTTTCACAGTCAATGACGTACTATATTGTTACAACAATGGTGAGTATTCTGACCAATTCTGAAATAGCACTACTGATAATTATCCGTATTTAGAAGATGTCAATTTTTTCCATGATAAAACAGCCTGGTCAGCCTCAAGATTTTATGTCATCCGACGACGAGGGCCACAAGGCAAACCAAAGAGGAAATTTATAGGTCCTTTCTATTCTGGAGCTTCTCGTCCACTCAAAGACGTTGATCGAATCCCATATGAAATTAAGAGTATTCGAAAATTACTTGGCACCCATCAAAGCGAACGTGGATGGAATCTTCCGAGCAGTCATCGATGCCATCTTTTAAATTTTCCAAAAGGTATGTCTCTGAGCCTGCTTCTGGAAGCTCCAATTTCTAATCAAAAGCAGAAATTTTGACCTTGATCTTTGCCTATACACTCGTTGCTGGAGGCGGAGCGGTTGTTACTCCGGCAGTAGTGACTTCTAACTGGGTTGAATCATACTCTAAAGCAGATTATCGAATTTCTTTCCCAGATTCACCTCATTATAACAGGCATAAGTCTTTTGAGAGTGGTTCGGATGTGGTTCTTCGCAAGAACATAGGACCTAGACCAGGCATTCCTGACTCATCTCCGTACGTCGAGCTTACAAGAGTTCTTCGCCCTCTGATAGATGCCACATGTCTCCGTTCCTGCAAGTACATATGGAAGCTTGGATCACAAATGTTATATGCAGATAACGCATACAGCTTCAAGATGAACGGTACGGAAATTACTGACTGTCCACCTTCTTTGATATTCGAGGGCGGCAACTACCACCGGCCAAGTCCCGAAAAACCTACCTTATCCCAAGAGGGTATCTCGGACGGTTCAACAGACAAAGAGTTGTCGGCTAGAGAATATGAATCTAAAATCGAACGTGTCATCAATCAACTTGAGAGACGCGTCCCAATTCTTGAGTTGGAGGGCTGGGCTTATTACGATCCATTCATCCGATTTCTCTACACAATCGGACCGCAAAATAGAGCTTCAATTCGCACTTTACGATTCACGGGCGCTCCAAAAACCCATGTGCGAGAAGCCCGCGGGTGCGATTGTCATGGTGTAGATCTGTTACTCAACATGCGCATATACATCCCCTTTATCAACAAATTTTGTACAGGCGTAAAGAAACTTGTGTTGGATATGGATATGGATTGTTGCATATACATGGGCAGTGTAGGAAATGTTATAAGGAGCTTCGATGAAGTCTTGATACCGTTTTTGGGCGAACTTGAGAAACTTCAAAGAGTTCGCAATCTGGTGATGAGACGGAGAATATTAATCTATCCAGAGGACAGATTCGATAGAAGAACTCTACGAGGATATTGAATATGCCAAAGATACGATCAATTCTCTTCGGAACAGGGTCGAAAACAACGTATGAGTTGGCGAGTTTGAGGAGTGAGGATGGATCGTTGGGGGAGGTTGTGGAGGTCGATATTAGGAGGCAGATTCTTTCAGGGGACTCTGTCCCTGGCATGACAGGACGATGAGCTATAGTTTAGTTAGGCCATGCTTTATTGCCAATAATGGCTTCAAAATCCATGGTACAACTTCAACTATCTTTTAATGTAGCTAGATGTCGTGAAAGTTGTGAGGTTGAGTGATTACCATGCTGAGTCAGCGAATTAAAGCTTTCAGTAGGAGTGCACGGACTGATGGACTCATCACTTAAGGTTCAGGTTCCAAAATTCGTAGTTAGCATCAATGATTTGATTCCAAGTTCAATACCTCATTTTTTATTTAAAATCAATTGACAGAAAAATCTAGAGAGTAAAGGAACAAAGTTCGAAAGAGGTTTGCAGGATTCAAACTCAATATTGATCCACGAGTCCATTCACTCTATTGCTCTTTCAGCCTTGTACAACGACTTGGTATCAAGATATCGCAATTCGTCTCTTGGATTGCGATACCTACTAATTTGGCATCGCGCTCATCATCATAACCTCCATTCTTGGACAAGGCTACCTATGATGAGATGTATCTTCGTTTCCACAGATGATCAGTAGGATTGAAGATGTTATTCATAGACACACAGCTTCCTCAACCTCATTCCATAATTACGAATACAAAAATGGAAGTCATAGGACAGATGCGAAACACCCAGATGGCGTTCAGTTAAGTGTTGTCTACACGAAATGTTTTGATCCATGTCGGACATCTGATATGGCAGGTCGAAAGAGTTATGTACTTGATGGTAGTCCCTGAATGAGACGAGCAAGAAGATGGATATCCTGTCGTTTGCATCCTTCGCCATCATTTATCTTGTGTATCTTCGCGAAGTCAAATTGCTGTCGTGAATAATGTCGATCTCCAGCTTACCGCACAGAGTCTCGAAGGATAGTCAAAAGTCTCGACAGGTAGTCACCTTCTACTTGAGCTCAATTATCTCAGGCGATAAACTCTCATTTCCATCTTGGCAGAACAACTTCTATTTTGGGTGTGGCCTAGCAAGTGCTTTCAAATTCTCATTTTATCGTCACATCGGGTGGAGAATATCTCTCAAAACTTGCCCCAAGATATCTGTTCTAGATTTCTCTACTCCGCTTAGGATCATGCATATCTTCGCATCAATACTTCCGTTGAGAATATTGCTTCACATGGTAATCTTCAAGTTTGAAATGCCTCGGGACTCATTTCTGCTAGTATGAAAATGATTTCCACGATCCATCTGAACCCTCAAATTTCTACAGATTCCAGTTTACATGGGGATTCGCGCGTGATTGTTGTGTAATTAATTCGTTGTCTATTCATGTTACATGCATTCTACTTGATAGATAAATGTTAGTGATTATGGGTATCTACTTTAACAATGGATAGCATAGTCAGTAGTCCTATGCAACACTTTTGCTGGAGAGTTTTGAAGTTCTGATAGCTCTCCTGCTTAGACTTCAATATGATGACGTTGTGAGTTGTCGGGGCCGATTTATTCTTCAAGGTCGAGAACCATTTGAATTCACGACTTTCATCGGATGAAGCCTTCAGATGTAGTCGAAACTTCCAGATATTTGTAACTTTGCAAAGGATTCATTGCTAGAAACCCTGAGCATGTCACACCTCGCCAGAATCACAGGCGAAAGAATAACATAGTATTATACCGGAAGAAGAACTGAAGGAAGGTACCTTGTGACCTTGTTACTATGATTGTACTTGTAGCCTAATTTACATAGTGTTCAACACGGATAGATGCCGATACGGTAGGAGTCATGTCACTACCTCGCTCTTGTTCAAAGATGGAAGGTCTGTTCAGAACTCGGGGAACGCACTTAATCATGATGATATCTCATCTTGGTTCCCTGCAAATAGCCTGACAGAACTATGCCTTCAAAGTTTACTATCTTGCAAGTAACCAATCACTGTTGGTACTCAACGCCGTCAACGTATCTCATGTAGAAGTTCATTAAAGGCGGGGTACCTGAAGGTTGAGTCAATTTGACAATCTGTCCACCCATCCCACGATCCAGCTATCCACAATCTGCAAGTAGTGATGAATATCATCCCCAGTATTTCTGAAAGTTTAATTCATTGGGCAATCGCTCAAGCTTCCCAGTTGATCTTACACATATAATCATATTATTCGCTATGCTAATCTGCACAACTATGCACGATAGCTAGCATTGGGAAGTTCCTTAACGTGAACTCAATCGGCTGATTATTCGTTTCTTCACTTTGAGTTGTATATGCCATCTAATCCCGGTTTGTGTGCATTTCACATGCTGGAATCTTCAATAAAACATGTGAGTACCGAGGAAAGCTTCCTTGAGGCCCCTCATTATATGTCCCTTTCAGGAACAAAATTATGGGGGCTGTTATAGTTCAGGGATTCCCCGCATCCGCAACAGCTAATGCATACCCCCGGTTAAATGCACCAGGAACTCCGCACTTTCACGTCTAGGATCTCTTTCCGTTTCATTCCAAGGTTTAGGTTTCCTGTGCTCGTGGAGCTTGCTCACTGCTAAGTGCTCGGGGATGGCGGACCATAATATAAAGAAAGAACTATAAAAGGGTTAGAACTTCCACCTTGATCATCTGTCATCGCGCAATCTCAAAAGTCAATCACACAATAACATCATTATTCCCCACATATATCTTCGATAAAAATCAGAAATCATGAAGTTCTCATACGCTGCTATTATTCTCGGAGCTGCCTCCGTCGTATCAGCTCAAAGTGCTGCTTGTACAGCAGCTGTGGCCGCTGTGCCTGCTTGCGGCGTAAGTAATCTCTTTCTTTACCTCAGTTATGTTGGCCTCTACAACATTATCCCTTCACTCTCAAATCCATCTCATGAATTTCCTCGCTTGATCTTCTGTGTCAATCTTCAGATCATCATCTAACACTCATTCTAGGCTTCTTGCATCAATGCAGCCGCTGCGACATATTGCGCGGCGGACGACTACGCTTGTGAATGCGCAGCTGCCACCTTTTCCAAGATCGAAAGTGACGCTACCAATTGTGTTATTACCAATTGTGGAGCTACCGTCGGACTTCAAGTCTTGAGCGCTTCCAACGCCGTTTGTACCGCCTGTGCTTAAGCTTGCACTTTTGTGGCCTATGGGTCATTCAGAGTCTTTTGTATGGGTGGAGAGGATATCGTGGTGTTTGGCTTGGCTATAGTTTGGATGGAATGGCAATCATTGATTGAAGCTCATGAGTCGATGATTGTTGACCATTGAAAATGAAATTTGAAGTGTCTGAAAACCAGAAACTACTGAGATCCCGCTGCCGTGAACTTTCCAGAATCATACTTACTCAAGACGATCTAGCAATGGACAATTCATCACTCTTGCTTGGCCTATGACACATGCAATAATTTTTGGAGTGACGTTAGACCCTTTGAGCGTAATAGACCTAGCGTAAGTATAGCCCTAATCACTAATTAACTCACACCTCTGTCCATGACATCATAACCTATAGATCAAACTTTTACTATTGCTAAGTCAGCTAATAGTTGTAACGACATCACTATATTTAGAAGAATTAGCACCGACGAGAGGAGGAAGAAAGCTCGGTAGTGTCTTATACTCACATTGTGTGGGATGTTAACATCGTTTCAATTGATCTACCGATGATGTATCTTGTCTAATGTTCATCAGTGAAAGGGCTTGAAAGACATTGCTTCGTTAATTAACATCGATGTTGATGCAATTTTAATGAAAATTGTTCCACTGCAATTGAAAAACTTCGTTGAGGGTGGGGGTTAAATCAAGGTTTAGGGGCGAGGGGGCTAAAATTTAAGGCTACTCCCGCGTTGGTGACACTAAAGTTTGAAATAACAACCTCACAACGACTGCCCATCTTCAATATCATCACAACACCATCATTGCCGCCACTATTATCATGACTCCCATCATTTAATCTCTTTAGTCTGGCTCACGACCGTTTTCAAGATTGTCACCATGTAATAAATGTCAATTCAGTTCGCCAAGCAAATACTGACCATTGATGGTTGATGATTGAAGTTAGGTAGGTATTCAGAGTTTTATCAGACGACAGCGCGCTATAAACGCAAACTCTCTCCATGTACTCAATAGTATCAAGTCGAGATGAATACTAATTGTAATTACTCATGGAGCGATGCTTGGTACTTTCTCCCGTCTTCATCATTTGATATGCATTTTTTCAATGTCATTTCAGCTTCTGCCAATGTTTTCACACTGCATTTTATTCTGCTTTATTCAGATCGATCATCGTGCATATTTTTCTTTACCGGAAATCTTCAATGGAGTTATAATTCAATTGCGACATTAATAGTCCTTCCGTCCCAATCAGAATTTACCCAATAAGTAAGCTTTCGGTATAGTTTTGTTGCGGGAACCGTATTTCGCCATGGAGCCACGGAGAATTTGGGAAATTTGCGGGGTATCGTTGTAGTTGACGATAGAGCCCAGATTTGGGAAGATACTTTATCACACGTCTTCACCCAACTTTTGTTTATGAGGCTACTCTCATTTGCTTTCAAAAACTACAGTTTGAGCCATGTTATCTCAATATTTGTTCGTTGTTCCTTTATTGGTTGACAGCTGTATTGCTTTCCCGTTCCTAAACGCCTTTTCGCCTAGAGCAACAGGAACCAAATATCTTTTTTCCTTGTGAGAGTGCCCAGCTTTTTTTGAGGGACAGTATTAATCAATATTACTAGCGGTGATTCTTACACAAGAACACTCTTCTCGATATCTGGTACGAAGCCTTCTGCAGATAATCCGATTGGAAATCCTCCGTTTCCAGGCACTACAACAGATGCGGGTCTCAATTGGATCGATTATTTGGTCACCGCATATAATACCTCCTTAACACTATCGTATAATTTTGCTGTTGGAGGCTCAACAGTGGATAACAATGTCGTTCCTTCCATCACAAATGGTGCTAAATCACTCGTCGAACAAACCGCAATCTTCACTGCTAATCTTGCACCAAAACCTTCATATGCCCCATGGACTTCGGCAAATACACTCTTCGCTGTATGGTTTGGTATCAATGATATCGATCTCAGTTATACAAATTCTAATGAAAATACACTCTTCACGGAGATCTTCGATACCTACTGGAAGCAGCTTGACATAATGTATTACTATGGAGGTAGAAATTTTGCATTGTTGACAGTCCCACGTAAGTCTCTATCCTGATGTTTGATTTGACGATCATGTATCAGGAGCTGACTGAAGTGAATAGCCACAAACAAGGCTCCCAGAGTTCTAGCATTGAATAGTACTTCACAAGCGGCGTACGCTTCAAGCATTGCAGCGTGGAATACTCTTGTCAAAAACACGGCTACTCAGTTCCAATCCGAAAGATCTGGGACTACTGTCAAAGTGATTGATACTTCAGTATGTCAAGACTCTAAGCTGATTTGCCGTACATAACTCACACATCTTCACAGATTCCCTTCAACACTGCCCTAAATAACCCAACAGCTTATGGTTCTCCAAATGCAGTTTGTTATAACACAAATGGAGTGAGCTGTTTGTGGTGGAACAGTTTTCATCCTGGCCAGGCGGTTCAAAAGTTGGTTGCTGCAGCATTCGCAGGAGCTTATAAGGACACATTCTTCTGATCATTGATCGTCATTGGAGATCTTAATGAGTCTATGTTTTGCCACGCAATGAAAAAGATAGAGCCCTACCTTTTAGTGTACAACATACGAGAAGCGAGACGGTCAAAGTAATCAAACAAAATTTGGTGTACACGTGTTTCCCATGATTCTACTAGATCCATTATATGATGACGTGCATTCATATGCGCGTCTGTACTTAAGTTCGTTTTCTTTTTCCATGGCTTGGAAGACCAGATCATACCCGAAGTACCGAGATGTAAGCCTTTCAGAGTCTAGGTAGCTCAGTAAGCTCGTATCCAAGACTTTCGTAACCATTGGTCGAGTTCCCTATTATCAAACAGTTTGTCATCGTTTCGCACTTACTGTACCGCATGGTAGCAGAATTATCAAGCACATTGGCCTTCAAAGGAAAACGGTAGTGAGAATATTTGAAGCTCTTTGTTTATACTATTTGATGTCTTTTCTCGGCTTCATCACTTACCTTCAATATCTAACGCATGAGACGTTTGAATAGAGTCTATACTGATTCTATCTTCGTGAATCTAAGTAACGTGAGCGTAAATGTCACCGGAGATTCAAATACTCCATGCGATTTATAATGGTTTCACGAGAGATTCAATATCATTCTACATTTCGGTAGCTTACTCTCGTACTAAAAGTCCTTATCTCAACTTTTGGAACCTATTCGTCGCTGAGCCCATGTAAACTCACAAATTCCCACATAAGAAATGTAAGCAGCGGTGTAAATACGGTCTTGCGAGCCGCGAAAACGTTGCGAGTGAGTTTTTAATTATGATGGTGATATGATTAGTTGTATCCGTCAATTTTTGGATCAACTTGAGTCTGCAATGCCAGTCCAATAGTGATTAAAGAATATTTGAACCCTTGAATTGTTCGTATGTTCATGAAATTTGCCCTGCTCATAGATGTATGATGTGTTCACGTTGGCGCATCTATGTCTTCTTTATCTACGCTTCCTGAGGTCAGCATTGCAAGACAAACAGACTAGGTTACAGAGTTTTGTAAATCGTTTTATTAAAAGTCTAATACTTCGTCACACCAGTCTCTTTGTACATTCTTAATCTCATCACCAAAAGCTCAAAACCCAAAAATGCCACACTTCCACCCCAGCAATACATTCCAAAGTTCTAGCCTCGATACCCCTCTCCCTCAGCTTCCCAGCCACTGCCGGGATTGAAGAAAGTCAACTAATCTGTGGAACGACTTCGCATGTTCAGTCTCCTACGAAGAGATAACTCTAACCACCGATGGAACATGCACCAATCTTCTTCTTCCCGGCGCGCAGTCAGTTTCTGCAGCGATTACTGTTCCTGGGTGTATTTCTACTAGTATGTATCTATATGCTTGATGTTTGTTTTTGACTTGAGTACTGATATGATGCTTGAATAGTTTATGGATTTACTTCTTTTGATTGTGAGGGTTATGATATTGTGGTTAGTAATCCGATGTGGACGTATCTGTTTGAGGGGAATCATTGGTTTTTGTCTTTTAGGGTTGGAATTAGTTGTACTGTTGAGTGATTGGGAGAGGTGCTCTAGACACTTGGTAGAGTGTGGGGTTCATGCGTGCGTGGTTCTGAAATTCAAGGAGATGGCTTACAAAATACAAATTAGACCCGGCTCTGATATATAACTAGTATTATGTGATCTCTTTTGATCTGAGCATTCACATGATGTCTCGATCCATCTACTTAGATAACATGAATCGAAGGGGACAGATACGATTGATGAAGTCTTGAACGTTGCAAAGAGTTCTGATATTATCGGTGACTCCTTTAAGCCGATGAATACGCTATAAATAATTCTTACAAGCCTTTTGTTCACTTTCACTATTAGAATCACATAACAGTAGCTGAACAGTCCATGCGTGGAGCGATTTGATTATGCTATCATACTGCCAATTCCTGCTCTCGCACTGCTGTTCCTTTCAAAGCAAGTAGGCACATTGCTGTTTTCTCACCCAATTCCTACTAGCCGAATACGACCTCAATATGGATGGATATAAAGACTCACATTAGACTCTCTAGAATGTATTTCATCAACCTTTGGCAAGTATGCTTCCGCTCGTCCCTTCATCCTCCCTGTATCCTTCCACAATTTGTCTTCAACGACTACCAGCTGCATTTATAATTTTAAGGCCATTTTGGCGTGCACCCTCCAATTTTCTCTGCCAGCCAGGTCCGAGAATCGTCTTTTGAAACATTGATTCGACCTCCGGAACGTGAAAAGGGGCTCCTGTAAGCTTTTCTATATGTCTCGCAAAAATCGAAATACGTGAAAGTAGCCGTTTAATCACATGGTAGTACACATGTCTAGGAGGGTCAAGATCGCAATTTTCGAAGTCTTGTAAGTCTTCAACACATACCGATTTCAGGAATGTGAATGCGTCATGAGGACGGACAGGCTCAAAAAGAATCAGATCGTCATTTTCACCGGCTTCAGAGCCAATGTATGAACGTGATCGCTTGAGAGACGAGCCATTTCGGTGTCCAGGTCGGTCTCTCCAGTGTAGGCAATAGTATACTATAGTAAAACGGTGGTGCGTATAAAGCTTTTGATACAATAACTAATGCATATTAGACAGTTGAAAACTCACTACTGTAAATATCACTTAAAACTAATATCTACAAGAATGTACGAAAAAACTGAAATCTAAAAATCTAAAAATGAAAAGATAATACTAAAAATTAAACTAATTCTAATAAAACCTAAATAATAATAAAAACCATTCAATTATCAATATTCCCATTTAAAAATAATAAAAAAGATCAAGATATTCGATAATATTAATAATAATTCAATTGAATATATAATTTGATATTATTGAAATCTAAAAATAACCTCAAATTCGTATACAACTTATTCCATACCAATCAGAGAACCGTATTCCCATATCTTATCAATAATATTCAATATTATCCTAATATTAAATATCTTCAGTAATATCGAATTCCATACCACATACATACATATTTCAAAAAAAAAACTCGATACACACCACTATCTAACCCGTATACGGATTACGGGAAATACTATTGCCTACACTGGGTCTCTCGGCGTACATAATCACAAAATTGATAAAGCAAATTCCCAATTGCATCAAATATAACGTTCCTTGTTATGGGATGAGGTGTAGTAAGGGGCTTGTCATCAAATAGGTTGGTAAACGAAGGGTTGCAACATATTTTCAGACGTTTTGGTTAGTGCTTGGGGCTAACACAAGGCGTGGATGCGTTATACCGTACTTGGAATATGGAATTTTTATAAAATATTTGCTAGTAGATATTACTGGGTAAACAAACGTCTCAACCTGCGGAACATTCTTCGGAGCAGATGAGAATATCACTAACGTCGAGGATACTATCCATCTAAAGCCACCACACCATGAATCAGGTGACAACATTTCCACACACAATTACCTTGATCACCCGGAATAGTAAAATATCGATCAATTACAGCATTAAACACGCTACTGCCAGATTAGATTCCGCTGCCATGTCACGCGCGTGTTAATGCACGTCATTAATTCCCCTAATCTCCAGCTTTCGGCAAATCTTCCACATTTTATATTATTGCCGAGCCTCTATAACTACCAACCTAGTGCTAAATAGTGAAAATGGTGTTTCTAAGAAACTTCCAAGTCTTCTAGTGTGGTGGGGTGCTCTGTTAGCATGGAGCTAAGAGCTTAGTAGGAACTTGATCTACAGACTATGAGATAGCTAGATTGGGGAAGTGGGGTGGTCTGGGATTTTTCTTCTCTTGGGATGGAATGGAACTTGGAAGGAAAATACGCTTTCTAGAATATTGCTAGAATGTTGATATACTAGTAGTACTAGCAAAGTCTTGTGCTTGAAATAAGAGTTATTTCTTCGTAAGTCTCTTGGTAGGATGCTGAGAAGAAGTTTAGGAAGATGGATGTAGTCTTTCCTAGATCATCTCTATAATATGAAATTAACGATACCAAGAAAGTTGAATGGTTCCTTAGGAAACTCTTGTTTTGGAAGCGTCTTGGTATGATAGAAGAAGTGGATTAGATTGTTGAGTCTCCTGTATATAAGGGGGGTATTCCCCAATCATTTGAGAGGAGTAAGTGCACTTCGAGCTGTGCGAATCTTAACATACATATCGATTCTCATGTCCAAGCATATTACTACCATTTCTTAACAAAATCAATCACTACATTTCCAACTCCATAGAGCACACATCACACACAAAGGTCCATCCAATAAAACTCTTTCTTATTCAGCGAAGACAAAATCCACTCTACCTCAAGAATGGCACCCGTACCCCGTGCAGGCGCGATTCTCGTCACCCTAGCCGCCCTCTCCTCCTCTTCCTCCTCTTGGTCCGACCCCCCTTACTCTCACGGTCCAACGATCCCTATAATCGCCAGCACAGTGACAAGAATCCTGGAGCGCTGTTCCCTCACTTATATTGCCAGTGTTTCTGACTCTAATGCTGCCTCGCGGCTGCACTGTTTGGCCGCGCTCTCAGAAGCCGCTATCAATAAGCATTACAAAAGACCGTTTTTTGCGCAACCTTTTACGAAGAAGGCAGTCTTGACTATTTATTTGCTTGCTTGTCTTGGAGGATTTGTGCTGATAGCGCTTTTGGTCTCTGTGTGTTCTGGTATTAAACGAAGTTCTAAAGCTAAGAAGAAGGAGGAGGAGGAAGCGTTGGCGAGGGCAAGAATAAATACAACGAACACATGGGGTAGGTAGTGAGGCGGTATAATCTGTGAGGGAGAATTGGTGATGATATTGAGATCGGCGTTTGGGCTAAAATATTAGATTGGAATTGGATAGGAGGGGCGTATATTAGGGGCACTTCGTTGTATGATCTTGGATGATTTTTAGACCTTTATTGAATCGTTGTTGTGTATAGTAGCAAATACAGATTTTATAATGATTACAGGTAAACAATCCTTTTTGCTTTATACTTTAATTGACAAATGGACGTTTTCTGGAACATCAAATCCGAAGAGTACCATTCATAACTTTTTGGCTATGTTATTTGACGGATGGGATTATCGTGGATATAGAGGATATGCTGAATGAAAGTTATTTCAAGAGCAGAGTAAACAATAACCTTTCCTGTAAGATGCATTGTCGCACCAAATTCCCTGTTTTCAGTCATATTACAATCACATTACCCTTTATCTCATTCATTTTTGTGCCGTTTGGATGCATTGATGACGGGTAGTATGGGTTGAGAGTGAATGAGTTTCAAGCTACTGAAAAAATGCTAAGAATGTTTGGATCGGGTGGAGGGGGGGGATAGCGTTTGGAGGAAAGAGGCCGTTGGCATTTAGGGAGGCTAATCAGTTTCGCAGCTTGCGAAAAACGGACAATCTTTGAACCAGCGTGATAATAAACCTCCAGATCTTTTAGGCCTCACATCTGGGTTTTTTTTGTAAATCTGCAGATCTTAGTGATGTGAAGCTACGTATCCTGAGAAAATGTGTGAGTTGCTAATTCTCTAGCCACTTCGGCATTTTTTTCTCATGAATTCTGACGATGGGAGGAATGGTAACGTTTTGCGAGTACCCAGGTAATCGATCGATCTCATCAATTACCTCAAAGCAATCTGAGTCCTCGCTTTTTCTACTCTGTTGCTAGCTGGAGATCAATGGAATGTGACTGTTCGTCATCACACCTCGTGAAGTATTCTCAGCTGACATGGAGTAAAACTGAACTCTAAGTGTGATATTCGCGCGCAGCTAATTCCTGAAATGAGATCAAAATCGTTAGTTGGTGTCCTCGTATGATGACTTTGACGTAATCATTGAAATATTCTCTTGAGAAGCTTCCAAAGTATTGAGATTTGAGAAGGGTCCTCGACAGCCCTGACTGCAGTCCAAATTTAAAAGTAGCAAATACATGATTGCCTGTGAAGTCTTGAGTATAATCTCAAATTTGAATTGAGTCTAGAAATCGAAATTCGTTTGTCATAGAATTTGGTATCTCTGAAGGGTTCAATTTGGAAAGCAAAATCAAAGTAGGATATAACTTCAGGAACATTAATTTGTGCATGTGAATTCCAAATTGTTAGCAGCTGAATTCTTGACTTTGAGGAGATAGAGAATTGTGATTGCTCATTCGTTGGTCGGACTTGCGTCCATTCTGGGCTTCAGATACATGGTACTGAGATAAGCACCTTGCATCAAGTATTCTCGCAAGTCCCTAAAAAGGCATTTTTGACTTCACTTGCTGTTGCGAATGAAAATTATCCTATAGATAGATCAATAAGACGGTGAACAAAGTGTGCACTGCGATTGAGAAAATATCCAATATTCAAGTAACCGAAAATAAAATCACACAAGTGACGTCGAAGCAGGTGGAGAACGTTCATGGATCTACTAATCTTGGCCCCGCACCTACCATTGATCGCCTTCTTTAACGGTCTCGCCTCATACCGTGCATGCTGCACGTTAACTAATTTTTTAATCGCCTAGCGATCTCGCTGCGGCTCGGATATCCAAATCAAGTTTTGAGTCTGGTGGAGTCCACACGGAAGCTTCCGACAAGCTGACATTTACAGTGACGATGCACATCGTTGGAGTGAACACTTTTTCAATTGTGGATTGTGCGAATCGGAGACCGAGGAAATTCTTCATCTCTACGATAGATGTGGGTTAGGTAATTATATGCAGGGCACTTACCCATGTATGTATGCATGTTATCCAGATTCTTGTAATCGACTGATGCCAAGAATTCGCTGTAAATGCATTGCAGCGATTTTATGCATATGCCGTTCACAACGGAGCTGAGATGCAACCCGATGAAAGGGGAAGGCATTATTGATATGAGATATTTTTGGTGGCAATGAATAAGAGAAGGAATATTATAAATACCTCGTGATATTACGACGTTGAACATACAAATCAACAACACGAGGCTAAGAACAGCATAGGATATCGATTTTACTAGACTCCTCTCACATTCAGAAACGAATCAAAAAAAAAAAGTCAACATGCAATTCGCAACCATCTTTGCCATCTTCGCCGGCCTCACTCTTGTCGCTGCACGTCCAACGATTCCTGCTGCACTCCAAGCTCGCGTGGAGGAATGCAGTTGTTCTGATGCGCAAGGCGCTTATGCTGTCTGCTTGTTGAAGAGTTGTGGCCATGGTTGCACAGATGAAGATGTCGCACCTTGTGTCGCCAGTGTTGGTACGTCACCGCTTAGATGATATGAGATGTGTAACAATGCTGACTGTTTGCAGAGGCTGAATGTATCACGGACTGGACTACTTGCCCATTGCCACCTGCATAGAGGCAAATGGAGTTGATCGTGAAGGAATGATGAGATGAAATGAAATTGGATGAGATTTATGATTTATGATGGAATGATGATCTGGGACTGCGAAGGATTCCGTGTAATCCTCTGACACTTCGAGGGCCCGTATTAGAAACGTTTTTGATTGGTACAAGTTTCCTGTCTTCAGCGGTGTAATCTCAGGATTATTTAATAATATGAAAAGAAAAATGAAAACATAAGCCTAAAAAATTGAATGGAGAATTATCTGGATAATAATGTGTGATATTTAAACCAACATCAAATCTATGACCAAGGAACCAGCTTGACCTTAGTCAACATCATCTAACCGGTTGGCCTTGATGCCATCAAAAGCATCCTTAGTAATCTCGAAGAAAGATAGCATCGTGCCAACTGTAAAAACACTCACCAAGAGCAACCTCTTCCCGAACGTATAAATCCACAAATCCATAGCTCACGTGGCGTACGGGGTCTCCAGTCGAAAAAATCTTGTAACGATGATAGTGAAGATGTAAACATTATATATCAGGCTCGTTTGAGTTTGCTTGTCCTCTACTCTTCGCACAACTCATTGAGGAATAGCCTGGATGGACAACATCACCTTCATCATGCCCTATTGTGAGAGACCACTGTTGGACCATGCCAAAGTCTAATCTATAATTGGGAGAAAAGTAGCGTTCAAGCAACGATTTTCAGCTTCTTTCTAGAAAGATTCACCTTCATTGGTGGAAATGCCCTCCTTCTTTGCATCTTTGCATCTTCGAATGCTTTCGAGATAGCGTGGGCGAGGGAATCCAGGGTTGATCTAGCTTCATCAGACGAGTAAGATCTCGATGTAGAATTCTTACTATAGGGCGGTTAGATGTAACTATGATGTTGTTGGATATTTATCCACAGTCAGGTACACGAGGAACAACCTTTCTTTGGGTTCGGAATAGCCGTGGCTCTGTCTGAAAGCTTTTTTGATTAAGCCTTGCTGGATGATAGAGAGATCTGGCACAGATATTGGTAACTACCTAGCTGATGCAAGATTCTTGAGAGATATTAAAATCTTTGAGAGTCTAAGAAGTCAGAAATGAGGTACAGATCGAGAAGATTGTGTGTTATGCAGCTTGACGCCTTTCAGGAACACATTTTGATCTATCAGATTTGACCGAATGACTTAAAAGAGACAAGTTCTGGGCAGCAAATGACCATACAACCATCCTCAGACAGCAATATTGAACATTGTTTTGACTTTTAGTCTTCCAAAATCAATTTCCGATTCGTCGAAAACAAGACAATTGTTTCTTGTGAGGTTGAGGAATTCTTTGGCCGAAAATGTTCCCCGCACGCACAATTCTCAATCGAGAGCCTGAACGGCCTAATATTACTAGCGTCAAAACCCTGAATCATCACCACTTGTCAAAACCTCAAACTTCACCACAATGATTTCCAACTACGAGTAGGTACTTAGGTACCTATGTACAGCACTGAAAATTTTCAGATGAGAACTTCTGAGGCATATTTATCAACTGTGTAACTCTTCACAAAGATGATTGGAAGCTACGAGTGTGCATCCATTGAAAGAGAATGAATGGTTTTGTTTGTGCTACCAATTTTCGTCAATGGCTCCAAGGCTTATCATGGAGCAACCTACATTTGGTATCAGATCCGGTGGCCAACCTTAATTTGGTGATCCGTCTTGATTCGCGTTGTACATGCATATCATCTCAACAAATAGTCAGATCACCGGCTCATGGTGCCCCAGGCCCCCGTTTGGATTGGACAATCAAATGAGTGCTTCAGCTTGAATCTGTCAGCCGCAGCTTTATACACTGCTCATCATTCAACCCAAAATCTACGGTCAAAGAATCCTTCAATCTATATACATGGGGCTTGCTTTTGGTGGACGATTTACTTCGTACTTTCGAGGGAAACAATGCAGACGTGTTAGAATGAGATGCCAGTGAAATGGTTGATCAGTCATCGCCAGTTGCTTTACGAAATGCCATGGTATCACTATCTCGGAAAAGTAACTTGGGCTCCAAATATGTACACCACACACGAGCCAAAATTCGATCTCTACAACTCATTCAACTGACTCGGCATGTAAGTACATGATATGCAACAGATAAGGCTTCACGTAAAGATAGGTGACAGTAGATTCTCAACAAGGGGTGAATACTACAGAACCCCCACCACCCCCAAAAGTCATAAAGCGAGGGAACACCAACATTTTCTAAAGTTCTGTTCAACGTCTTAGCATGCTCGTTTTCATTCATCACGACAAAAAATGTTCAAACGGCCTTTTTACTTTTCTCTCGCGGCAACTTTTGCCTGCATAGCATATTTATATGCCGGAACGTCACCACAGGGCGAAGAAAATCACGTCGCTAAAAAGATTGGAGAATGGCGTGGAAAGAATAACACTGTCTTGTTTGTCACGAATAGTGAACATGGATTTGCAAATGTCTTTTTGGCAACTAGTCATGCTTTACTCACGGAATACAATGATCTCGACATCCATTTCGCCACGTTTGAAAAACTAAAAGATGACATTACTATGATCTCTAATTTCGCACTAAACACGGGAAGTAAAAGAACTATTACTTTCCACGAATTGAAAGGTCCATCATACAAGAAATTTTTGAACGGTGGTGGCTTCAAAGTTGATTCGGCGATCAACTCACCTTCACTCGCGGATTTCAACAGATTTTGCAGTAATTTGGAAAAAATGGTGATGCCCTGGACAGCTCCCGATTATCTTGATATCTACAAAGAGATCTCTGATATATTGGAGACTGTAGATCCGAGTATTGTGGCTGTAGACCCAGTGTTTGGTCCGGGCGTTGATGCTGTGAGAGCCCAGGGACGTAATCATGTCATTATCTCACCAAATACTCTGAAAGATAGTTTTGCAAAGTATCAACCTTGGGGAGCTGTACTTTGGAAGTATCCAGTGTAAGCAATTCAAACTTTCTGACACAAATTATACTCACAATTCTTAGTTTAAGTTCCGCATTCCCATATCCAGTGCCCTGGCACCTTATCCCTTCAAACATATACAGGAACCTGCGTCTCGCATACAGCGTGCTATTCGCTCCAACTACTTCTTCCAAGCGCGCATATCTTAAAGAAAACGGAATTGCAAAACCCATGGATTTTTTCACTGTCTATCACAAGGACTATCCATGGATATCTCAAAGTTCTCAAGAACTCGAATATCCTCTCGACATAATTCCTGAGAATGTAGTCCAATGCGGGCCCATTTTTCTCTCGACAGCAACAGCCGCAGAACAAGATCCAGAATTATCTGAATGGCTTAATAATTCTCCAACAGTATTGATAAATCTAGGAAGTGTGGTAGACTACGACCACAATGCCGCAACCGAAATGGCAAAAGCGATCAGAATTCTGCTCGACAATACTACCGTCCAGGTACTATGGAAATTCAACAAACGCCACCCATTCACCGATGAATTCCTCGATATAATCTCTCCGGATCTCGAATCAGGACGTATAAGGATGTCCGAATGGATAAAAGTCGATCCGGCGGTATTGTTAGAGACAGGAAATATCATTGCTTCGGTCCATCATGGAGGAGCAAATTGTTTCTATGAAGCTATTGGAACGGGTATTCCTCAAGTCGTATTACCCCTGTGGGTTGATCTTTATGATTATGCAGTAAAGGCTGAGTACTTGGGTGTGGGGGTTTGGGGTAGTAGGAAGGCGGCTCCTTATGTAAGAGTCCTCTTTCAAGCCATTCATATTCGGCTCCTAACATCAGAGCAGTGGAAAGCGGACGAATTAAGCACTGCATTTTTGCAAGTCGTAGGAGATAGCGAAGAGGCAATTTCGATGCGCAAAAAAGCAAGGGAATTAAGTTTACCATACAAAGCAAAGCCAGGTCGCATAACCGCGGCTCACGAACTGGCAAAATTAGCACGATCCCCAGGCTCGTCCCTGTGATTTAGAATCCGAGAGTTGTATCCATGACCCATCGTATCGTATACCAATAAGTTATGAATATGATTTTTTTAATGAATTTCACTTCCTTCAAATAAGTTGAAATAACCTTGGAAATATCAGTCTAGACACTTCCTAAATATAGTGGCGCAGATCACCTTGGTTCCTGTCGCTCCCGCCACCTCCGCTTCCCGCTAAGACATTGCATCGTCATAGACGCTAGGGATATCCCTTGGCAAATAGCTACCTACATGATAAGGAACGGAGAAGTACCCTTTTCCTTTCAAAAACTCTTGAATAAACATTTATTCTCAAAATTCGATCAATCAATCAATCAAACATCAACAATAACCAAAAAAAATGTATCTCCCAAATGCCCAAAGTATTTTGACCGCAGGTCTCGCTATGACCGGCACCCTCACCAAACGTATGTTTTCCCCTCCCTCTCCCTCTCCCTCTCCTTCCCCCTTCCCAAACCCTCCTAACCCCCCTCAGCAAAAGAAGTAGCCTCCGGACACGTCCTCGACTACGCGGTCGAAAGCTGTCTCGACAGCGACCACAACCGACGCTGCACCGCGCCCTTCCTCGTGACGGGCGATTCCTGCTACAAAATCGAATGGAGCACCGACGGGGTACTTTCTCACACCACTGTCGAAGTACGCGATGCCGGGAGCGACGAGATTGTGTATTATCGCGATACGAATGGCGAGTGGGAGAGTAAGAAGGGAGAATTGGTTTATTTGGATTTCAAACCAAAGGTGCCGGGACAGGGAAATAATACGGTGGATTGGAGTGTTAGTACTTGTAAATAGGCTTGGGGTGGGATGTGTATGGGTGGGTAAATGGGTTGGGGGATTGGCGTATTAGGTGGTATTGGTGTGTAATGGGGCGGGTGTAATGTACGATATTTAATGTAAAGTTGATGTATTCCTATTGCTGTGATATTCTATGACATGAGATCAAAGATTCCTTGGTTTATATTTTCTCGATCAAAATCTTGTGGTAATTCCAGTATAGATCCATGAATACAATCAAGCCCATTCCGAAGTACACGGCTCTTAGATGCTCTTGCCATAGCATCGTGCGAACAATTAAGGCAAACTAAGGAAGAGCTCCAACAACTTTGGATAATTAGGCGTTCCAAGCCCAGTAACAGGATCCCATCTACAGCACACCATTAAATCAGCAAGCTCCTCGTCAATTAGCACCGAAAGAATAGTAAGAAAAAAAACATACCCAGACACAGCACTAAACCCAGCAGTACCACAATTAGGATTACTTCCATTGGTGATATCATTCAACACATGAGGATTTGCATAAAGGACTGGATTAATAAATCCTACAGTGGACTTTCCGACAGCGAGTCGTTCCTCGTTGATCTGCGATTCGTAAGTATATGCAAGTTGAGCGAAAGGATAGAAAATGAGAAATCCTCATACCAAGTTAATGACGGAAGAGAAAATGGGTGTGCCTAGAAGTCTTTAGCAAGAATAAAAGAAGATTTTGCATCGAAGAAGACATACTCGCACTGGTACCCCCATTCAAAGTGAAGTTTCCTCCGAGGAATGTAGCAATGTTATCTCCATTTGCAGAAACGTCTGGAATACCTCTTCCAGCACGATTGTATACTCCGCCATTAGCCCCTATACTAATATTGCTACCGGCAGTGGCTTCATAGTATGGATAAGAAGGGTTATGAAGCTTGAAATATCTGTGACGGCCGGTCAGAATAGAGTTTTATTATCATGAAGGGGGAAATTACGATGCTACAGCCTCTTTTTGGTACGAAGGGATTCCATATACATTACTAAATCCTCCCCCAGAAGAGTATGCATTTCTGTATGGTTGGCCTTTGAGATCGTTGGCGGCACTTTCAGGCTCGAAAACTGTATGACCTGGGTAAACTTTCGTGGCACCAACTGCTGTGACGTATGGGCAACTATCAAGTGTTAGCTTTGAATTATATGTTGATTGTTGAAAGAATTCCGAATATGAACAACTGAAGATACGTACTTGACTGGAAATTGAGGGTTGAAAATTGTTGAATTCGAACCCAAACATCCGCTTTCTGAAGCATCACCAGGAACTCCACCAACACCATAGTCTCCTGAAGAATATAGAAATGTATGTCCCTGAAGTCCTAGTTTCATGTACCTATCTTCATGTCAGTATTTCATCACTCAATATATGGTAGACCTACATACTCATTGCATTGTCTTCTCTGATAGTATTCAGGGAGGTCTATTTCTGCTTCACCGTAGGATGTTGAGATTACATTTGTGGGCTTGTAGACACCACACATTAGTTTTCCTTTGTATCCATCAACGGCGGAATCCGGATAGATAGGGTCAAGAACAGGGTCATTGCCAGTTTCCCCGTAAGCTGAGTATGTGCAGTATGACTGAAAAGATCGTCAGTAACACATCTTGAAGTTGAGGAATAAGTAAACATACTCCATCAATAGCATCGAGAAAGACATTGAATGCGCCCACAGTGGGGTTCTCGTTGGAGTAGTTAATATCATCCGTTTGATAAAGTACCAGTTTTTGAGGATATAATAGAGGATATGCCAATTCAAAATCTAAAGAACTCTCTCCACCTCCTTCCTCGACAGAGACTGGAGCCACGGCACCATCCACAAAATTGGGGATTGGATGTGTACCCTTGGGAATATATGGAGTGTAATTGGCAAAGAACAAATCCAAGTCTTCTTGATCATAGAAGTCTCCTTCTTCCCAGATACCCATTGCATTGTTGGGATTCGCTTTGCTGGCAAGAGGTATACGATAAAGGGCTCTGATACATTCTGGGGTGATAACCTCATCGCAAGTCGCCAATGAACTCGAGTTGTGATGTGAATAGCCTCCGGATGAACTTTTTGGTCGTCGTAAGGGTTGATGGTCTTTACCTTTACTTCCACCAAGAATGCTACGTTTTGAGGCTGATTTCTTTTTCGTGGAGATTAATTTAACACCGGGAGTAATGTAATCCACATGTGGTTGAACATGGGCTGGAAGGTGGTATCTATGGGAATTTTTTTAGCAGGTTTCACGAGCAAGTTTCCATGCTGATTGCTGTTGTATACAAATCTATGAAAATGGTGTCTCACTCATCACATGCAGCAGCTATTTCATCAGTTGAAGAATGCTCATATGTGTAGTACTGAGTATTGAGTAAATTCTCCAGTTCGCTCGTCGTCGCATCGAATGCATACCATCCCTTTGTATCGGAGTGAACAATTCGACTAGCCGCAATTCCCGAGTCGACTAGCCAATTTCGCACAGTATGGATTGTCTCCTCTGAAGGGGCAAACATTTCATGTACCTGCTCGGCTGTCCAATGTTTTCCATAATTTGAGGATTTTGGATGCGAACTTTCAAGTAATCAGCATAATGGAGTGATGAAAGATGTACTCCTCATATCCATTTCATCGTGGATTACTTACACATCCATAAGGAAATCATGTCCCTTCTCGAGGTTACTCTGGGATAGACCAATACGCACAGGAAGTAAAGTCGTGCTCGCAATCCGGTCACGTTTCATCCATTGTGTATGAGGTATATTTCGCTTCTCATGGGAAACGAATGATGAACGAGTGGAAAGAATATCAGAGTTCGGAAGAACAGCAGCGATAATTCCAGGAACGGATAATACAATTGAGGCAAAATGATGGAAATGCATTTTGATTGAACGAACGAACAAACGAGCTTGGCAAATATCAGGGGCAATACCTACAGACAAAAGCTTATGTACTTTTTGAAGCTCTTGTGAAGATACGAGGGGCATTGCCCAAACGATGGACAGGTACTACGAACCCTGCAACACTTGTTGTCAATCCGGAAGGTAACTTGATATAATCAATGCTGGTACCATGCAGTACTTATGTATCCTTCTGAATTGGGAAGTTGTCTCAAGTTCCTGACCATCTTGCATCATTGAATCAAACTTTGATTAAGCAGATTCAAAATTTCATTCGCTCCTACACGCTATCAATAGATAACGGTATTTTCGTGGTAATTACCAAAAGATTGTTCGAGATTCAGTAGATCATCACCTGGATGAAAGAAACTCGTGTTATCGGCGCCCTTCAACTGCAATCCCGAGGGTCAAAAGGTTGTGTTCACCTGTCGGTCAATACCCATTTGAAATGGCTGTGGATATTGACTATATACCATCCATCCATGCTTGACTGTCGCTCACCGCGGTGACTTGGGTTCTTCGATGTTTCAATAGCAAGAACTTGGCACCTGATTTTTGAAGATGGGTTGAAAATATTTGTGACGACAAGAATACCTAGGTACCTGGTCAACGTTGATGAAGCTCAGCAATTAAATGTAAACGGCGATGGCGAGGTCTTCTCGTCATCGTTACTCGGTGTTGTTTTAAATAAATGCCGACCTCAATTATAGCCGAATTCCTTACCCAAAACTATATTTATTTAGTATTTTCAAAATTTGATATTAAAAAAAGCAATATAATTAAATTCTTCAAATTTTGAGGATATATAGAATATTAATGAAAAAATCTAATATCAAAATTTCAAAGTTTTTGAAATCAAATTGAAGAATTTTCAATAAATGAAAATCTTTTTTAAATAATGCTTTTTTCAGACTTAATTTTAGGTATTTAAAGTCTGAAAATAAGTGAATTTTTATTTTTATATTTTCGATATTTTTATTTTCTAAATAATTTAATAACCATATTATAATATTATAATTTGAAAAAATATTTATAAAATTCAATTAAATATTTATATATCTATAGAATTTCATATTTCAAATCTTTGTGATTGAATTATAATTGAATTTTGAAATAGATAACTTTTGCTGAATTTTGGTGTGATATATACTAGCTAAATTGTGGTCGGCATTCATTTAAAACAACACCGAGTAAAACGAGTGAGTGATGATTAAGCCCCACCATGATGCAATCAAGGTGATGTAAGGGTACGGTGTACCTCAATTACTCTCAGCGCAGAATTACATCAAATCCCCCACCATAGCAAAATAGTACTCAGTGAGTAAACATTGGGAAAATAAAAATACTATTATCGCCACAACGACGAGATGAAGCAAAGATTTTCTTCTATCGACGTGAAGGTAAGTCAAATAAAGCTTTAACGGGCCTTCTTCGCCTTGTAATGCCTTCTAACTTTCTCAGGTCATCGCCCATGAACTTTCCAATGCATTGGTTACTTTGCGCGTTTCCAACATCTACGACTTGTCGTCGAAGATTTTCTTGATAAAATTTGCGAAACCAGATAACAAACAGCAGATTCTCATAGATTCTGGCTTTCGATGTCATCTCACCGATTTCTCTCGAGCGACTGCAGCTGCTCCCAGTGTATTTGTGCAAAGATTAAGGAAATACCTCAAGACAAGACGAGTAACCCAGGTCTCTCAAATTGGAACAGATCGCATAATCGAATTTCAATTCAGTGATGGACAATACAGGTTATATTTGGAGTTCTATGCGGGAGGCAATATCATTCTCACGGATAAGGACTTGAACATCCTAACCTTACTTCGAGTGGTCGACCCGGGAGAGGCTCAAGAGGAATTACGAGTGGGACTTAAATACTCTTTAGACAATCGCCAGAATTATGGAGGAATACCTGATTTGACGAAAGAACGACTTCAAGAAGCTTTACAAAAAGGGGTGGATAAGGGAGAGGATGATTCTGGAAAGAAGAAGAAGAAGCCTGGAGATGCATTACGAAAGGCATTGGCTGTGTCCATCACAGAATTTCCACCGATGCTAGTGGACCATGCAATGCGTATCACAAATTTCAATTCCTCTTTAAAACCGGCCGAAGTTTTGCAGAGTGAAGATCTCTTGGATCATTTGATGAAATCACTTCAAGAAGCTCAACGAGTTGTTCAAGAGATAACTAGTTCCGAAACTGCAAAAGGCTACATTGTAGCGAAGAAGAAGGACCCTCAGACTCCATCAGATGAAAATCAGACAGACACTCGAAAAGGTTTACTTTATGATGATTTTCATCCATTCAAACCAAAGCAATTCCAGGATGATCCTTCATTGGTCTTTTTAGAGTTTGAAGGTTTCAACAAAACTGTTGATGAGTTCTTCTCCTCAATTGAGGGACAAAAACTCGAATCAAAGATCGAAGAGAGAGAAAAGCTAGCCCAAAAGAAAATTCAGGCGGCACGAAATGAACAGGCCAAACGTTTAGGCGGATTACAAGAGATCCAGGCACTGAATGAACGTAAAGCCGGTGCTTTACAAGCCAATGTTGAGCGGGTTCAAGAAGCAACAGATGCTGTTAATGGCTTGATTGCGCAAGGCATGGATTGGTTTGAAATTGGACGTCTAATCGAAAGGGAACAAAAGTTCAATAACCCGGTAGCTTCAATGATTAAATTGCCCTTAAAATTGGAAGAAAACACAGTAACAATTTTATTGGATGAAGAGGCGTTTGACGAAGAAGAAGATTCTACTTACGAGACTGATAGTGATGTCTCCGAAAGTGAAGATGAGGATAATACCGCTAAGACCAATAAGAAGAAGGAGAAGGTTGCGGACACCCGGATCCCTATTGATATTGATCTAGCATTGTCCCCATGGGCCAATGCGCGCAATTACTTCGATCAAAAACGTTCAGCAGCATCGAAAGAGGACAAAACCCTACAATCATCTTCGAAAGCGTTGAAGAGTACTGAAGCGAAGATAGCTCAAGATCTAAAGAAGGGTTTGAAGCAAGAGAAGGCCATCTTACGACCTGTACGAAAACAGATGTGGTTCGAGAAATTCATTTGGTTTATATCTAGTGATGGATATCTAGTACTGGCAGGAAAGGATGCACAACAAAGTGAAATTCTTTATAAGAGATATCTCAAGAAAGGGGATATATATTTGCATGCAGATATACGAGGTGCAGCATCCGTCATTGTTAGAAACAATCCAAAAACACCGGATGCCCCAATTCCTCCACAAACTCTAAGCCAAGCTGGAACCTTGGTAGTTGTTACGTCAAGTGCCTGGGATTCTAAAGCTGGTATGTCTGCTTGGTGGGTAACTGCAGATCAAGTATCAAAATCTGCTCCTACTGGCGAATTTCTTCCCGCTGGTAGTTTCAATACCCATGGGAAGAAGAATTTCTTACCTCCTGCTCAGCTACTCCTTGGTTTTGGAGTTCTTTTCCAAATCAGTGATGAGAGTAAAGCTAGACATGTCAAACATAGACTTCAAGATGATTCGCCATCGGGTGGCACAACCACAGATGCTCCTCCGGCAGGTGATTCACTTCTTGGCGATGAAGGTTCCGGCGACGAATTAAATCAATCTGATGAAGATGAGCCAAGTTCCGCCAAAGAAGTTGAGGCTGATCATCAAGACGTGGATGATTCGGACGATGAAGATGCCGATTCGAAGCCTAACCCTCTACAGGGCGAAGTAGAACAATCCGATGAAGTCGCCACACAAGAGAAGCTCGAGAATCTTCGAATCGACGATAAGAAGCCCCAGCCATTAGAATCTGAGGCACAAGTGGAGGAATCAGGCGAAGATTCGGTCGAGGAGTCACAATCACAGTCTATCTCCACTGGTAAAAAAGCAACACCCGTTCAAAACCCACCCAAAAAGGGTCCTGCACCAGCTAAGCGAGGCAAAAAAGGAAAGGCCAAGAAAATTGCACAGAAATACAAAGACCAAGATGAAGAAGATCGTATCGCTGCTCAAGAAATTATTGGTGCTGCAGCCGGTCAAGAAAAAGCAGAAGCGGAAGCGAAAGCTAAAGCGGCTCGAGAAGCGGAATTGACATTCCAAAAAGAACGTCGACGAGCTCAACATCAACGTACGCAAAAGGAAACAGCCGAGCACGAAGAGATGCGAAAATTGATGCTTGAAGATGGTATCGATACTCACGAAGATAATGAGATTGAAACCATGACATCGCTCGATTCCTTCGTCGGTCTTCCGTTACCGGGCGATGAAATCCTCGAGGCGATACCGGTTTGTGCACCATGGGCTGCGATGGGAAAATATAAATATAAAGCCAAGATTCAACCAGGCGCGCAGAAGAAAGGTAAAGCGGTGAGAGAAATCCTGGGGAAGTGGATGGCGGCGAGTACGGCGAAGGGTGTCCTCGATGAATCGAGTATGGATGTGGAAAGAATCTGGCCGAGAGAAATGGATCTGATCAAGGGGTGGAAACCGGAAGAAACGACGAATGTTGTGCCGGTGGGGAAGGTGAGGGTTATGATGGGAGGGGGCTCCGCGGCCGCAAAGGCAAAGGGGGATAAGGGGAAGAGTAGTGGGGGGAGAGGTGGGAGGGGAAGTAAGAAGAAGTAGGGTGGTGTAGATACCTGTGTAAGGAAGAGGAAGTATATTATGAATACTCTTTTTTTTATATTTTTCTTCTCTAAATCTCTGAATTCATTCATCGGGGAGAGATTGAGCATAAGGAAGAAGAGTAGTGCTGGATTTCATGAGATGAGTAGAGTAAAAGTAGTAGATCATAGCGAATATACCTATCTACCTAGGTACCTGTAATCTTCCTTTAGAGAATATTACAAAGCCTCTTCCTTATTCACTTACTCATTCACTTACTCATTTACTTACTTACTCATTTCCTTACTTACTCACTCACTCACTTACTCACCCATTCACTTACTCGCCCATCTACTCAAAAGTCGTATTTCCAATACAAGTAAGTACAAGTA